ATACGACCACTCCCCACACACACACTCCCACACACCCACTCACGCACATACACACATACACACAGGCACACACCCACTCACGCACACACCCACTCACGCATCCATCACGTACACCCACGCACACACCCACACATAGACACACACCCACACATACACACACCCACACACACCCACTCACGTACACACCCACTCACGCACACACCCACGCACACACTCACTCACGCACACACCCACTCACGCACACACCCACGCACACACTCACACACCCACCCACTCACACACCCACTCACACACCCACACACCCACTAACGCACCCACACACCCACTCACGCACACACCCACGCACACACACACCCACACACCCACCCACTCACGCACACACCCACTCACGCACATACCCACTCACGCACACACCCACGCACACACTCACACACCCACCCACTCACACACCCACACACCCACTCACGCACCCACACACCCACTCACGCACCCACACACCCACTCACGCACACACCCACGCACACACCCACGCACACGTACACATACACACACCTACTCACGCACACACCCACTCACGCATCCATCACGTACACACACACACACACGCGCGCACACATACACACACAAACACACCCACATACGTTACTCCCATTGTCACCTAACTTGAACCCGTGTATGTACGCGTATATTACCTGTGCATGCGGGTGTGTACAGGTGTGTGTGTGTGCGCGTGTGTGTAATTTTGTGTGTGTGTGTACATGGGGAGCGGTATTGTAGAGGTTAGCGCACTGCGCTATGAACCCGGCGACCCGAGTTCGATTCCCGCTCACGGCCAACACCGGTGACGATTATCTGAACCGGTCCCTGGGCCTCTCCTAGGTCGACTCGGCCTCAAATGAATATCTGATGCGATGCGTATTGGCACTGGGGAGACAAAGGCGGCCGGGCGTGGTGCTGGCCACCCACCCCCTCATGTGCCGTGCCGGCCTTCATAGGTGCTGCTACTCGCTGACAGCACTTGCCCCTACAGTCTGTTGAGGCTGTATGGGGGATCTTTGCCTTTGTTCTGATGCCCCCCCCCCGCTCCGGCCACGGAGGCCAGGCAACAAAACCGGTCCGTCCTGTCGTGTATAGGTCAGCTACCCCACACACACTGACACACGCAGACACACTGCTGACACACACAGACACTGACACGCGCAGACACACGCAGACACGCACGTGCTGACACACACAGACACTGACACACTGACACGTGCAGACACACGCAGACACACTGACACACGAAGACACACTGACACACACACGCAGACACACACAGACACACACAGACACACTGACACACGCAGACACACTGCTGACACACTGCTGACACACGTGCAGACACGCGCAGACACACTGACACACACAGACACACCCTGACACGTGCAGACACACTGACACGTGCAGACACACACTGCTGACACACACACACGCAGACACACACTGACACACAGACACACTGACACACACGCAGACACTGACACGTGCAGACACACTGACACGTGCAGACACACTGACACACACTGCTGACACGCACACACGCAGACACGCACAGACACACACTGACACACTGACACACACTGACACACAGACACACTGACACACACTGACACACTGACACACACTCACACACTGACACAGACAGACACACACTGACCTCGCCTCTTTGAGACTCAGTCGTGAAGCGATCACTACGGGGTGGCGTGTAAACGATGAACGCTATCACCACTTGGGGGGAGAGACAAAGGCGGCCGGGCGTGGTGACGACCGCACTCCCACCACTCCTCTCGTGTGTGCGCGCGCGCATTCGATTTCCCCGCTCACGACAACGATTTGAACCGGTCCGGAGCCCCCTCCCCTAGGTTGACTCGGCCTGAAATGAGTATCCGGTACGTTTATGTGTGACCCCCTCCCTCCCCTCGTGTGTCCGTGCCGGCCTTCGTAGGTTGCGGCTCGACAACAAACACTTGCCCCAAGTGCGCGTTCAGGCTATACGGGGCACCTTTGTCTTTTGTGTTGGCGGCGGGGGGGGGGGCGAGAGACAGGAGAAGCGGGAAAACAAACGCAGGTGTGGGGGGGAGGGTGGGGGAGGGAGAGTGGGGAGGGAGAGTGGGGGGGGAGGGTGGGGGAGGGAGAGTGGGGGAGGAGGGTGGGTGGGGGAGGGTGGGGAAAGGTTGGGGGAGAGTGGGGGGAGAGTGAGGGAGGGAGAGTGGGGGAGGAGGGAGGGTGTGGAGGGAGGGTGGGTAACGGTGGGGGGAGGGTGGGGGGAGGAGGTGAGGGGAGGGAGGGAGGGTGGGGAGGGAGGGAGGGTGGGGAAGGGTGGGGAAGGGTGGGGGGAAGGGTGGGGGGAGGAGGTGAGGGGAGGGAGGGAGGGAGGGAGGGAGGGAGGGAGGGGAGGGAGGGTGGGTAACGGTGGGGAAGGGTGGGGGGAGGAGGGGAGGGGAGGGAGGGAGGGAGGGTGGGGAAGGGGGGGAGGGTGGGGAAGGGTGGCAAGGGTGGGGGGGAAGGGTGGGGAGGGGGGGGTGGGGGAGGGGAGGGAAGGGTGGGGATGGAGGATGGAGTAGGGGAGGAGGAGGGGGGGAGGCCAGGGTGGGAAGGGTGGGGGGGGGAAGGGTGGGGAGGGGTGGAGGTGGAGTAGAGGAGGGTGGGGAGGGGAGGGAGGCGGGAGGGGAGGGGGCGGGAGGGAGGGAGGGAGGGCGGGAGGGGAGGGAGGGCGGGGAGGGAAGGGTGGGGCGGGGAGGGAAGGGTGGGGCGGGGAGGGTGGGGAGGGGAGGGGAGGGTGGGGAGGAGTAGGGGAGGGGGGGCCAGGGTGGGGGAGGGAGGGGAGGGGAGCGGTGGCACAGCGGTTAGCACTGCACGACAAACCCGGCGATCCGAGTTCGATTCCCGCTCGCGGCAACAATCGGTGACGAATCTCCGAAGCGGTCCTGGGCCTCGTCTACGTCGACTCGGCCTGAAAATGAATCCCTGGTGCCTGTGTGTAAACATCGACACTGGGGAGACAAAGGCGGCCGGGCGTGGTGGTGGTGTTGCCCCCCCTCCCCCTCTCTCGTTAGCCCACGGCACTTGCCCCATCAGTCTGCCGAGGCTACATACAGGAGGATCTTTGTCTTTGCGTGGGTCGATGGGAGGGGGCGGAAGGGAGGGAGGGAAGGAAGGAGGGGGAGGGGGTTGGTGACGTCACTCAGGGCACCGCCACAGACAACGGTGACGCAACCGCAGGGGGCAACCGCAGGGGGCAACCGTAGCCCCACGCGGAGTTGTAGTGTAGTGGGTATAGTGTTAGTTGTATAGTCTATAGTAGTGTAGTGTATAGTGTAGTGTATCATAGTGTTAGTAGTGTAGTGTGTATAGTGTAGTGGGTATAGTGTTAGTTGTATAGTCTATAGTGTAGTGGGTATAGTGCAATGTCGTGTGTATAGTGTAGTGCAGTGTAGTCTATAGTGTAGTGCAGTGTAGTCTATAGTGTAGTGCAGTGTAGTGCAGTGTAGTCTATAGTAGTGTAGTGTGTATAGTGTAGTGTAGTCTATAGTAGTGTAGTGTGTATAGTGTAGTGTAGTCTATAGTAGTGTAGTGTGTATAGTGTAGTGTAGTCTATAGTAGTGTAGTGTGTATAGTGTAGTGTAGTCTATAGTAGTGTAGTGTGTATAGTGTAGTGTAGTCTATAGTAGTGTAGTGTGTATAGTGTAGTGTACGTCTATAGTAGTGTAGTGTGTATAGTGTAGTGTAGTCTATAGTAGTGTAGTGTGTATAGTGTAGTGTAGTCTATAGTAGTGTAGTGTGTATAGTGTAGTGTAGTCTATAGTAGTGTAGTGTGTATAGTGTAGTGTAGTCTATAGTAGTGTAGTGTGTATAGTGTAGTGCAGTGTAGTATTAGTAGTGTAGTGTGTATAGTGTAGTCTATAGTGTAGTGCAGTGCAGTGTAGTCTATAGTGTAGTGCAGTGTAGTCTATAGTAGTGTAGTGTGTATAGTGCAGTGTAGTCTATAGTAGTGTAGTGTGTATAGTGTAGTGTAGTCTATAGTGTAATGTTAGTAGTGTAGTGTGTATAGTGTAGTGTATAGTGTAATGTAGTCTATAGTGTAGTGCAGTGTAGTGTGTATAGTGTAGTGGGTATAAATTTTTTTTAAATAAAAGTAAAATAAAAATAAAATAAAAATCACGACAGGCTGTGACGGTTCCACCTGAAGACGGAGGCTTGTGTTGCCTCCGAAACGTCGTGATTTTTTTATTTTATTTTTATTTTATTAATTACAATGTTTTTACCTACGTGACTTTACAGAAAAAACCTAAGAATATGAAACTGAAAGTTGTATATTTAAGCGATCTAATCTCCCCCCCCCAAAAAACTTCTTGTGTATATTCTTTTGGTTCTTTCGGTAAAGTCACGTAGATAGAAATAATTAAAATGAAGTGAATAAAAAATAATAAAAAATAAAATTATATTTGGATTCATCTTCTTGGTTCTTTCGGTAAAGTCACGTAGAATGGAAATAATAAAATAATGAAAACAAAACATAATAAAATGACAATATATTAAAATAATTAAAAAGTATGTAATTATAAAAACTTATTTTATTATTTCCATTCTACGTGACTTTACCGAAAGAACCAAGAAGATGAATCCCTGCAGTCACGAAAGCTTTAAATCGAAATTTAAACATAGGATTCAAGTGAAGTGAAACCTCTTCTTGGTTCTTTCGGTAAAGTCACGTAGAAGGGAAATAATACAACTAAAACATAATAAAATAATTATCAGCCCTTGGTGAAAGAACCAAGAAGATGAATCCCTGCAGTCACGAAAGAAGCTTTAAATCGAAATTTAATATTTTGATGTTTATAAAATTCCGACTTTCTACACATGGGGTCGCTGCCCCCCCCCCCAACTGACCCCGCCTCCCTGCCCCCCCTCCCACAGCCTCCACCCCCCTCGGCCGCACCCCCACGGGTGCGGGTTCCCTGGGGTTTGTCGCGTTCGGTGAGGGGGTCCCTTACCCCCCCTTACCACCACCACCCCTACCCCGTGTGTCTCCGCGTGTACCCCCGTGTGTGTGTGGCGTCTCTCCCCCACCCACCCACCCCCCCACTACATCGTTCGTGTCAAGTGAATGACCCCCCCCTCCCCTACTCGCGTTGTAATTCTCTACCTGGTTTACCTTCAAACCCGCTGCGTGATCTGTGTGTGTGTAGTGGTGGTGGTGTCTGTGTGTGTCTGTGTGTGTAGTGGTGGTGGTGTTGGTGGTGTCTGTGTGTGTGTCTGTCTGTGTCTGTGACCGCCTCGCATATCGTTCCGGCCTCGGCTCGTTAGTTCGTTTTTCTTTGCCCGCTGCCGGGCCCGGGTAAGAAAGGATGGCGTTGCCATCGGCATCATTAACAGCATCATCAGCAGCATCAGCAGCAGCACCATCATCATCATCAGTGACATCAACACCGCTAACACAGCGGCAGTGGCAGTCTTAGCTCGACAATCAAAACACAGGCGGCGGCGGCGGCAGCGACGCGCGAGATAATGCGACCACCATGAACGGCGTCGTCTTTATTTGATCTCGTAGCCATCAACGCCTCCGCAACATCATCATCATCATCGACGACATCCACTTAACATCAACAACATCATCATCAGCAACTTAAGAACATCATCAACATCGTTCAACATCAACCAGCCCGAGGCCTGGCCTGGCGTGGCGGGGTGGTGAAAGCCTGGCCCTTGCCTAGCGGCCAGGCCTTGTTAAATTCCAGCCCAACCCCAACCCCTTTGTAATTTATAATCGCTGCTCGTTCGCCTGGCATCTGTGTTTATTTTAATCGAAAGAACTCGTCGGTGCCTTTCGTGTAAACGAAGAAAGCAAAAAAATCCTTTAATCACTTCCCTTCAACCCTCCGTTGTTATTTCCTAATTCTCGCTTCGAGGGCGAAACGGGTGCGGTCTAGCGGGGGGCCCCGATCGGGCGCGAAGCCTGCGGCCTTGCCTAGCGCGGTCCGCCGCCTCCGACGACGACGACGCCGCCGCCGCGGCTGCCCTCAAACTTCACGGGCTTTTTAGAAAAAAAAATTACGTTTCAAATACCATTTGTTATTTGTTACTATCGTTGATAATGTCGACGACGATTGAATAGAAACGACAGAGCTATTTGCGGTAAGGTGTTGGTGTTCGTTGCGTTGACCCGAAGCTCAGAGCCGCCGTGGCAAATTTTTCTTTGCGGTTTAAAAGAAGTAAATTGTAACGTTTAGCTCGGCACTGCTAGAAAAGCTTCATTTGTAACGAAACAACGCGATGCCGATGACGAATATGTATTGATTAGACTTACGCCGACAAACTATAATTGGTTGCATGATGCGTGCGTGCTTTAAGCTGTGCGTGAAAAGCGTTGTCGTCTTTATTATTTCGTTAATATCCGTCTGGTGAAAGTCTCCGGATTTTAAAATGTAACCGGCGTTCTATCTTCGTGGTAGCTTCGAGGGTCAACATTGAGACGCTAGTGTGTTTATAATTTCCGAGTAATAACACAATTGGAGTTGTTGGTAATGCTGCGAGAGTGATGTGATTGTGTAGCAGCTTTCGATTTCACTATTGGCTGCGGTATTAGCGTGCGATCGTGTAATTGTGTAGCTGTAGTGTGTGTTGTGATTGTATCGTACAGTAAGTAGCAACGTGTTGTGTACAGTGTTGTTCGTGTGTGTGTGTATAAGCTTGTATACTATACGGTACTTCTCTATACGATGTGCGTACACGTTGCAACACGCGTGTAATGCACAAACATATACACGGAGACTAATAAACACACGGTCGAATACGTAAACATGCACAAACATACACACGGCTATATAAACACGGAGATGCATAAACACACAGGCACATCTATACACACTTCAGACTATTCAACTTGTATACGTGCATACAAATGTCATGTAGTCTACACACTTGCCAACGCAGTCGGTAGTGCTTTTTTACATGAACGAGCCTCTATCACACGTCTATATAAGTACAGTATTGTGCTAACACGTGACCTGACCATGCAACTAAACCTGTGCGTTTCGATTTAAAGCTTTCGTGACTGCAGGGATTCATCTTCTTGGTTCTTTCGGTAAAGTCACGTAGAAGGGAAGTAATACAATATGCAAATTATTTTGTCAAGACGCTCTTCGCCCCTCCATCCGAGCATAAATAGTCGCTCCAAGCCTGGGGAGTGCCATTCAAACTCTGTCTACTTGACAGACCTGTTCTCCACCTGAAGACGGCTGCTTGCGTTGTGGCCGAAACGTCGTGAGAATTATTTTATTATGTTTTATTTTTATTATGTTATTACTTCCCTTCTACGTGACTTTACCGAAAGAACCAAGAAGATAAACCTGTGCGTGTTTGCGTGATACTGTAGTAGCTTCCCAACGCTGTATCTGTGACAGAAGTTTAACCCGGCGTTCATCCCGTTTCCTCAACCCCCATGGCTCCCTGCACCACTTGGTGTCGACCTCCATCTCTCATCACCTCCCCCTCGCCTTCTCTCATCTCCACATACCTCACTTGCGTCTCCCCCTTATCTCGGCCGAAGCTCCCCCGTGCCTCCCTTTCCTCCCTCCAATAACCTCCCCGTGTTTCTTCTCAACTCAAATTCCCTCATCCCCTAACTTTCACCCGTTCCTCCCCCACTCGCCTCTCTGTCTCTCCCCTAACTATCACTCACCTCCCCCGACATCTTTCTCCCTGTACATCTCCTGACCTACTCTCACCTGTTCTTACCTCTCTGTGTCTTTCACTCGCATCAACTCGCAATGTCTCCACTCATCTGCGTTCATCTAACCAACCCTCAGCCCACCTGCCCTCTTGTTCATCTGCCTGTTCATTCACTTTTCCTCACCTCCCTCTTCATCTCCCTTTAATGTTTCCGTTTACCTCCTCGCACCTCACATCATCTCCCTGTGTCTCATCAAACCTTGTCTCCCCTCCCTGTATCGTTCTTACCTCCCATCACCTCTCCTTACCTCCCATAACCGCTCATCACCTCCCATTACCTCTTCTCACCTCCCGTAACGACCTCTCACCCCCCCTGTGCCTTGCCTCGCCTTCCTACATGCCCCCTGACCTCTGAACTTTCTTTACCTGCCTTGAACTCTCTGTACTCTTAGTTCTTTCGGTAAAGTCACGTAGGCGTTGATGCAGCAAATCTGGCTGTGACGGTCCCACCTGATGACGGAGACTTGTGTTGCCTCCGAAACGTCGTGATTTTTATTTTATTTTTATTAATTTAAATTTCTTAGGTTTTTTTTGGTAAAGTCACGTAGGTAAAACATTAAAATTAATAAAAGTAAAATAAAATAAAAATCACGACGTTTCGGAGGCAACACAAGCTTCCGTCTTCAAGTGGAACCGTCACAGCCATGACGGCTGTATCAAGTAATTTAATGTTTTACCTACGTGACTTTACCGAAAAAACCTAAGAATATGAATCCTTGCAGTCACGAAAGCTTCAAATCTAGAATTAATTTAAATTTCATTTTTTACCTACATGGTGACTTTACCGAAAGAACCAAGAGTATGAATCCTTGCAGTCACGAAAGCTTCAAATCTAGAATTAATTTTAATTTCATTTTTTACCTACATGGTGACTTTACCGAAAGAACTAAGAGTATGAATCCTTGCAGTCACGAAAGCTTCAAATCTAGAATTTACCTCCCTGTCTCACACTTAACCTCGCCTCACCTTGTGTCTCTCACCACCACCACCACGTACACCCCCCCCCCCCCGGCCTCCCCTCCGCTCACCTGCCCTGGCGTCACTGTTGCAGGCCGGTGCCGGGATGTGGATTGAAAACCCGGAGCACCAGGTGCGCTTCCTGGCGGAGGCAAACCGCATGCGGCGCACGGGCGCGCTGTGCGACGTGGTGATAGCAGTGGGCTCCCGCCGCTTCTACGCACACAAGCTCGTGCTCGCCTGCGTCAGCAAGACACTGGAGGCGCTGTTCAAGCAGCCGAGCCTGCGCTACACGCTGGACTTCCTCACCCCGCTCACCTTCGAGCAGGTGAGCGTGGGAAGAGTGCGTGTTGTGTGAGTTAGGTGTGTGTGCGGGGTGTGAGTGGGGTGTGAGTGGGGCGAGTGAAGGCGCTGTTCAAGCAGCCAAGCCTGCCTTACACACACGACTTCCTCACCCCGCTCACCTTTGAGCAGGTGAGCCTCGGAGTGGGACGAGTGCGTGTTGTGTGAGTGAGGTAGGTGTGTGTGTGGTGAGGGGTGTGAGTGGGGTGTGTGAGTGGGGTGTGCGAGTGGGGCTAGTGATGGCGCTGTTCAAGCAGCCGAGCCTGCGCTACACTCTCGACTTCCTCACCCCGCTCACCTTCGAGCAGGTGAGCGTGGGAAGAGTGCGTGTATGCGTGTTGTGTGTGTGTGGGGTGTGAGTGTTGTGCGAGTGGGGTGTGTGTGTGGGGTGTGTGTCTGAGGTGTGTGTGTGTGTGAGTGGGGTGTGAGTGGGGCAAGTGAAGGCGCTGTTCAAGCAGCCGAGCATGCACTATACTCTCGACTTCCTCACCCCACTCACCTTCGAGCAGGTGAGCGTCGGCGTGGGAAGAGTGCGTGTGTGCGTGTTGTGTGTGTGGGGAGTGAGTATTGTGCGAGTGAGGTGCGTGTGTGTTGTGTGAGTGAGTGGTGTGTGTGGGGTGAGCCTGTGGGCCTAGTGATGGCGCTGTCCAAGCAGCCGAGCATGCGCTATACTCTCGACTTCCTCACCCCGCTCACCTTCGAGCAGGTGAGCCTCGGTGTGGGAAGAGTGCGTGCGTGCATTGTGTGTGCATGGGGTGTGAGTGGGGTGTGGGTGTAGGTTGTGTATGCTGGGTGAGTGTGTGGGGCGAGTGAAGGTGCTGTTCACGGTTACCCAGGTAAGCCTCACTGGGTTTTAAGACTCGGTCTGTATGAGTCTGTGGCTCTTGAATAATAACGTGTCTCTCTCCACGTGTCTCCTCTCCATTCCCCGTGTCGTTGTGTGTCCCGATCTCCCTTTGTCTCTCTCCATTTCTCCCCCCCCCCAACCCACGTGTCTCCTCTTGTATGTCCCCCACGTGTCTCCGCGTTTCTCTCCCTGTGGCTCTCCCCTCGTCTCTCCCCTTCATGCCTCTTTCCCGACGTGTTACCCCGTCTCCCCGTATCTCTATCCCCGGCCACGTCACTCTCCCTCTGTCTCCTCCCCCCCCCCACGTGTCTCTCCCCCGGATGCGGGCATCGTCGTCGTCATCCCAGATCATGGAGTACGCGTACTCGGGCTCGGTGGAGGTGCAGGCGGACCAGGTCCCGCGCCTGCTGCACGCCTCGCAGCTCCTGCAGATCGACTGCCTGGTGGAGCTGTGCCTCGGCCTGCACCACGCCGCCGTGCAGGGCCTCTCCCCCGAGGCCCGCCTCGTCATCGAGAGGGGCCCCTCCACGGTGGGCCCCGCCGACGAGGAGGACGAGGAGGACGACCAAGGCTGCAACAACCCCAACAACAACGGCACCACCACCATCGTGGCCACGGCGGGCGGCGTCGGCCGCGGCCAACAACGGCGGGGTGGACGTCGACATGGAGGAGGACGACGGAAGCTCCCGGCTGCACAGCAACGACATCGTCGCCGCCGCCGATGACGACGAGGACGACGAGGTGGACGCGCAGCGGCGGCAGCAGCGTGGTGAGTGGTGGCGCACGAGGAGGAGGCGGTGACCACCACCACGACGTTACAACCACACCAGCACCACCAGCACCACCACCACCACCACCAGCAGCAGCACCACCAGCAGCTACACCACCACCACCAGCAGCACCAGCAGCAGCAGCAGTCGTGGCCGAGTTCGACGACGAGGAGGAGGAGGACGACGTCGCCGGCGCCGCGGGTCGCGCCGGCGTGGCGGGCGCGTCGGCGGCGGCGGCGCGTCTCTGCGAGGAGGAGGAGGAGGAGGACGACGAGGAGACGGTGCGGCGAGGAGTGGATAGTCCGCTACGGACGACACGCAGCGCGTCATCCTCGCCGAGCAGTGCGTGCGCCGGCTGCTGTCGGCAACGGACGACGTCGAAGACGAGGAAGACGACGCCGCCGGTGCGGCTGGCGGACGGAGAGCAACGACGTCGCCGGTGACGACCGCGGCGGACGTTGGCGTCGGCGTCGATGACGACGGCGGCACCGTGGAGGAGACGAAGACCCGTCCGCCGCTGGTGGCGGTGGTCGCGGCCAGGAAGAAGTACAGCGAGTCGGAGGTTGATGCTCGCCGAGCAGTGCCTCAAGCTGCACCAGGCGGCGGCGGCGGCCGAGACGGCGCTGCTGGTGGGGGCGGGCGAGGGGGACGGGCAAGGCGCCGGCGAGCCGGAGGTGCGGGTCATGTACATCGGCACCGACGTCGCCCGCCGCCACGAACGCGGCGGCTGCGGCGGCGGGCACCAGCGGGTACCAGCTCGCCGGGCGCGCCTACGCCGCGACCCGGCAGGAGCCCCGTGGACGAACCGGAGAAACAGCCGGTGCTGGCGGCGACGACCAGGCCGGCGCCGCCCCCTCCTCCGCCGCCGGTGCCGGCACCGCTGGCCGCACCAGCAGCAGCAGCAGCTGTCTCAGCAGCAGCAGCAACAGCAGCAGCATCAGTTGCTGCAGTACAAACGATCGAGAAGGTTGGTGCCGAACGGCGGCGCGAGCGTGCAGCCCGAGGCGGTGGCCGTGACGGTGCTGACGACGCACGAGCACACGCACCTCGTCGATGCCGGCGGCGCGAAGGATTGGCCGGAGAAGCGGCCCCGGCTGGACGAGCGCTACGCGGCGCCGTCGGGAGAGTACGACAAGAACGCCGGTTCTGCCGGCAGCGGCGGTTGGCACTTTGGAGGAGCGAAGGCCGCCGGCGCGGCCGGGGCGACCGCGACCTCCGCCGGACCTCACCTGGTGGCGCCGTCGGAGGTGAAGTTCGAGGCGGCGTGCGGGCAGTACTACCAGTCGGTGCTGGAGAAGGCCGCGATGGTGCAGCAGCAGCAGCAGGCAGCAGCCGGCGCTGGGGGCGACGTACTCGGCGAGCAAGGAGCATCGGAGCGGACGGGCGCTACACGTTCATTAACCACGGGGGCCTCCTCAAGACGGCGTCGCCCGCAGAGGTGAGCGCTGCCTGCGGTGGAAGGGGTCGTGTTTTGATGGGGTGTGCTGAGGGGCGGTGGTGGCGCGGGGGGGGGGGGGATGGTGAGGGTGTAGTGGTGGGGAGGTAGCAGATTGTGTGGGTAGTGCTAAGTGATGGTGAGGGTAGTAGAAGTGGGGGGTAGGGAGAGGGATGGTGAGGGTAGTGGAAGGGGGGTGGTGTGGGTAGTGGTGTGTGGATGGTGAGGAAAGTAGTAGGGGGTGGTGAGTGGGATGGTTTGGTTAGAGGTAGGGGGTGGTGAGTGGGATTGTGTGGGTAGTGGTATGGGGTGGTGAGGGTAGTAGTAGGGGGTGGTGAGGGTAGTGGTAGGGGGTGGTGAGGGTAGTGGTTGGGGGTGGTGAGGGTAGTAGTAGGGGGTGGTGAGGGTAGTGGTAGGGGGTGGTGAGGGGTAGTGGTAGGGGGTGGTGAGGGTAGTGGTAGGGGGTGGTGAGGGTAGTGGTTGGGGGTGGTGAGGGTAGTAGTAGGGGGTGGTGAGGGTAGTGGTATAGGGTGGTGAGGGTAGTAGTAGAAGTGGGGTATGGTTACAGTGATAGTGTGGTTAGTGCTAGGGTTAGTGCTAGGGTATGGTGTGAATAGTGGTGGAGTTGTGGTGTGGGTAGTAGTAGGGGTTGGTGAGTGGGATAGTGTGGGTAGAGGTAGGGGGTGGTGAGGGTAGTGGAACGTGGTGGTGTGGGTAGTGCTGGCCAATGGTGAGGGTAGTAGTAGGGGGTGGTGAGTGGGATCGTGTGGATAGTGGTATGGGGTGGTGAGGGTAGTGGTAGAGGGTGGTGAGCGTAGTGGAACGTGGTGGTGTGCATAGTGCTGGCCAGTGGTTAGGGTATTAGAAGTGGGGGGGGGGGGGGGGGGTGGTAAGAGGGATAGTGTGGTTAGTGCTAGGGTATGGTGTGAATAGTGGTGGAGTGTGGTGAGGGTAGTGGAAGGGAGGGTGGTGGTAAGGGTTACAGTCAATCCCACCACAGACATTATGAACCTCCCAATGCACTCGTCATCCATCAGTACCACCATCACCCTGTCTCCCGTCCCTCTGTAGTAGGTTCAAAGAGACTTTTACGACGTAGTCGGAGGCACACTTATTTATTAAACGTTCCACTCTATACAGGCCAAGGTATACAACACTCGAAGGGGTATCGGCTCCCTTCACCCGTCTAACAGGGAGATCCCACGATCTTTATCCCGGCTAGCCTACTCCCAGGTCCTCCACTACAGAGCTAGGGGAGGCTAGCTGATCCAGCTCTGGCCAAGTGGGATCACGGCACCCTGAGTCCCCAGACCGGCACCTTCACCCGTCTAACAGGTAGATCACACAATCTCTATCCCGGCTAGCCTACTCCCAGGTCCTCCACTACAGAGCTAGGGGAGGCTAGCTGATCCAGCTCTGGCCAAGCTGGGATCACGGCACCCTGAGTCACCAGACCGGCTCTTACAAGAGCATCGACTCTGGGCTCTCGGGGCCACGCCACTGGCTTGCCCTGGTCGGTCCTGAGAAGGACAGCGATCCAGGGGAGTCCCAGGGCCTATCTAACCGGTCTTCACTCTTCACTGGTTAAAGCTGAACACTGAACCCCGAGCCCACCGGCTCACCGCCTTATTAAATCCTTTATATTAAGTTCGCTTGCGTGCTTGCTTGCGTGCTTGCGTGCTTGCGTGCTTGCTTGCTTGCTTACGACCGTGCAAATCTTTCGGTCGTTTTTTAACCCACTTCCCGTGATCCAATCGAGCTGACATTTTGCACACAGACTCGTTTGAGCGAGACAATTAATGTTCGTGAAATTTTTTTTCCTAAATTTTACACTGTTTAGGGAAAACAAATTAAATATTTAATTACCAATTGCTTAATACTGGCAGACAATCATCTGACCCATAGGTGGCAGCCATCTCAAGCCAGAGGACAAGAGGACTCTAGCCGCCACGCATATAAAGGATTTATAGTGAAAAACTTTGTTTTTACGGGTTATACTTGTATAGCAACTCCCCCACCGAGGGGTGGGGCCGTGGGGGATGACAGCGCCGTTTCAGCCCCCCAGGCTGAACGGTGCGGACGTGGATGTAAGCATCCTTCCGCGTGCGGGCATGACCACCCCCGGTGTGTTTGTTCGCCTTCCCGTAACACCTCTACACCTCATCTTCTTGGTTCTTTCGGTAAAGTCACGTAGAAGGGAAGTAATAAAATAATAAAAATAAAACATAATAAAATAATTCTCACGACGTTTCGGCCACAAGCAGGTCTGTCGAGGCGACAGCGTCTGAATTTCAGACGCTGTCGCCTCGACAGACCTGTTTTTCACCTGAGGACGGCTGCTTGCGTTGTGGCCGAAACGTCGTGAGAATTATTTTATTATGTTTTATTATTTTATTACTTCCCTTCTACGTGATGACTTTACCGAAAGAACCAAGAAGATGAATCCCTGCAGTCACGAAAGAAGCTTTAAATCGAAATTTAACCACCTCTACCCCTCTACCCCTCCCCGCCCGCCAGGCGGCTGAGCTGGAAGCGCGGGCGCTGCTAGCGGCCCGCGTGGACCCCCACCGGGACCCCCCCACGGCCCCTCCCCCTCCCCCCGGGGCTCCCAGCGCCGCCTCGGTGCTGAGCGCCACCTCATGCTTCTCGTCGGCGTCGTCTTCGTCATCGTCGTCGAAGCCGTCCGGGGCGCCGCCCCACGTCACCGCCTCCACCATCAAGAGCACGGGCAGCTCGACGCCGCTGCCCGACTTCTCCACGCTGGTGTCGCGCCGCATCGCGTCCAAGATCGTCAGCGCCAGCACCCACCACCAGCATCACCAGCACCAGCAGCAGCAGCAGCAACAGCAACAACAGCAGCAGCAACATCACCAGCATCAGCAGCACCAGCAGCATCAGCAGCAGCTCGAGCAAGCGCAGCAGCAACAGCAGCAGCAGCAGCAGCACCTCCATCACGGTGGCGGCGCCAACCTGCTTGCGTCGAGGGCTCACGAGTACCTGCTGGTGCACACGGAGGCACAGACGCAGCAGCAGTACGGCGCCATCAAGCAGGAGAGTAACGGCGCCAAGCCCTGCCAGATGTTGGACTCTCGGCCGGACGTCACGCTGGTTTCGTCGGGGCAGTCGGCCGCTGCCGGCGCCGCCGCCGCCGCCGCTGCTGCTGCTGCCTCGGCTGCCGCTGCGGCGGCGGCGGCCGGTTCGGCCGGGGACTACTTTCCGGCAGGGCGGGACGCGGCGGTTGTGAGGGCAGCGGAGTACGGGGGACTACTTTTGCCGAAGGTGGAGGGGTGCTCTGGTGCGACGGTGGTGGCGCCGCCGTGCTCGCAGCGGATGAATACGACGGATGCAGGCAGGTGGCGGGGTCGCGGGGTCACGCGGGGGCTGGTGGTGGGGGTGGGGGTGACAGGATCAGAGTCGGATCATAATCTATTAATTTATATTGGAGGAATCCGATGTCCAGTAACGGCACGGGGTCAGGACGGTGACGACTCGCGATCAACTAGAATCCTTTCTTGCGGCT